TCATGACAAGTGAGTAGCATAAATATGTTCTTCTAAATTTTGTTTGCAACTCATTTGGAAGTGGCTATTCTTTGAAATGTTTTTTTCATGGCATTTCTAACTTCTCTATTCCTGAAACTATATATGATGGGGTTCAGCATAGGAATGATCACAACATAAAAGACGGATACAATCTTGTCTTGCTCCAAGGAATAGCTGGAGCTAGGGCGCAGGTACATGAAGAGAAGAGTCCCATAGAAAGTGCAGACAACAATCAGGTGGGAAGAGCAGGTAGAGAATGCTTTGTAAATACTTTCAAGTGAACGCATTTGGAGGACTGTGATAATGATCCAGCAATAGGAGGTTACCACTAGGGATGTAGTTACAACCTCATTAAACCCTACAAAAGCAAAGAGTAGAATCTGAACGAATTGGATGTCAGAACAATAAAGATGAGTCAGAGGAGGTCCATCACAGAAGAAATGGTTGATGATGTTGGAATGACAGCAGGTTAATCTTAAACGAAATCCCACTTGTATGGATGAATTCAGAAGTCCAGATATATAGCAGATCATCACTAGGAGAATGCAGACAATTTTGGACATGGTGGTGGTATATTTCAGTGGGTTGCAGATGGCTACATATCGGTCATATGCCATCACAGCCACAAGATAGCATTCAGTAGTTGCAAAACAGCAATATAAGTATTGCTGTAAGAAACATCCAGTGTATGAGATGACTTTCCTCTGTACCAGGAAGTTTACCAGCATCTTTGGGGTGACAACAGATGAGTAGCAAAGGTCTAAGAAGGATAAGTTGCTCAGAAGGAAATACATGGGGGTTTGAAGGTGAGAATCATTTTTCACAACCACAATGATCCCAATATTCCCCACAATAGTGATAACATAAATCAGTAAAAATATCACAAAGAGCACATGTTGTAGCATTACATGATCTGTGAATCCTAGAAGAATAAACTCTTCCACCTCAGTGCAGTTGCCTCCAATCATCTCACTAGTTTAGTTGATTCTTCACTGAAAGAGAAAATCATGTAAAATTAGTTCCCAAAGTTGAAAGGAACTTTCTCATGGGGGTCAAACATTAAATTCCAGTGAAACTATGTCAGCTCCAAAACTTTTTGCATTCAATATATTTCAATATTCTGTTAAAAGGAAACTTTATCTTTAAACAGTTCGGCAAACTCATATTTTGCCTATAGGTTTTCTCAGTGGAGTTCAGTATTATGAATGTTTGTGTTAAGAAAATTAGATCACATTTTCTTGTTTTCTTTTCCCCTTTGAAAATTCATTTTCATTTTTCTAGGTTGGGAAGGAAAATGACAAGAGACCATAAGCAGCAACAATAACGGAGTCTTCTCTTTTGCTCCTACCCATTTGAAAAACAAACATTAGCGATCAACCTCTTCCTCAATTTCTTTTTCCCAATTTTTTTTTTAGGAGCAAGTTCATCTGTTGTGGCTACAATGAAAGAGTTTAGCATGAGGTTTATAACCAGATTATTCAATTCATAAAAAGCTGAATGGGGAGACAAACCTATAGAAAATGATGTTCAAATACTCCATTCTTCTGAAGTTCTGAGGAGAATATCAAAACAACTATGCACAAGAGAATGTCAAAAAAAAAGGACTATCTGTGCACAAAATAGTGGTTACCTAAGCAAATTGGGTGAAGACCCTTGACTCTAGTTCTGTTAAGGATATTTAGAAGAAACTCTAAAGAGTGTGAGATAAGCAGAGTGGAAAAGTGATTGAGGACATGGAAAACCAGCTTTGAAACTGCTACTCCCTGTATGAAGCTGACAGCCCTTTCCATGTTTTTCCAACAAAATCCAAGTTCTGCTGCAATGGCTGAGATTAATACTGCAGTGGACTTATTAGATGCAGAAAGAAACTGCATCTAATACAGATAAGACAGAACTTGTTCTTAGCCAGACAAAAAGGAGTTTAGGAAACAGAGATTCTATCTGTGTTAGGCAAAGTAATTCTTCTCTTGAAACTTCTTTTTCATTATTTGGAAGTCTGAGTTTGCATGGTCAGTTTTTGATGGTGCTCAGAAGATTCTTTGTTTCATTATGACTAGAATGTTTTTTCCTGGACCTGTCAGATTCAATAATAATATACAAATCCCACATGTCCTATAGAATATACTGCATGAAAGACTGCCCTTGAAATCAATTCTGAGACTTCAGGTTATACATATTGCAGATCAAATTACTAACTGGGGTTAGTTATAAGATGCATATACTGTGTTGTCAAATAATTACTAGTTTGTTTCTGATCTGGCATGATGAAAATCATGACACACACACACACACACAAATCATATTCTACCTTACTGGTTTATCTGAGATTGAAGTTCTTTAAATGAGTGTGATTTTGGTTCTATTGCTGACAAAAGCCAATTTGATAAGAACATCAGCTGCAATATTTTAGAGGACACTGATATGAATGAGGGTGGGGGTGAGGGATCCTGAAGAAGCATTGCAAAGAAACCTTTTCTGAAATGTAATCACTGGCTCTTTTATAAATGATCTAGAGCTGGGATGGTGAATCTGTGGCACACATGCCAGAGGTAGCACACAAAGCCCTCTCTATGGACAGTTGCCAGCTGCTCTTCTGGTTTCCAGCTGGTCTTTGTAGGTGCCAGAGTGCCAGAAAATGCCAAAAAATGGCCAAAAGCAGGCCATTTCTCAGGCCGTTTTCAGGCCAAAAATGCCCTGAAAGACAGCCTGAAAATGGCCCAAAACAGGCATGTGTGCGTCGGCCAGCTAGTCTTCGGGTTTCCGGTGCTCCAGCACATGCACATGCATACACGCATGTTCTGGTTTGGGCACTCGGTGCCGAAAAGGTTTGCCATCACTGATCTAGAGTCAAAAAATTGTAAAATATTTTTTGAAAAATAGTTCATCGATATATTCATCAAATATATTGAATACATTTTATTTTACTAACACTATAACATTTTAGTAGAGTTTACCTTTGTTATTATATTCCTTAATTTGACTGATTGATGTCTTTGTCAAAATAGACACTGAATGCCACATTAGATGAAGAAATAAATGTGCACTTACCTTGGCATTCTACAAATACTTCAGGAGAAACAAAATATACTTCTTTGATTCTTTTCAGAATGATCTCAGTTGGCTTAGAATGAGGACTCCCACCTGAAGAAGGGGTTATGTCTACCAGGAAGCATGGTGTTTATTGGCTTTTTGTTTTTCAGCCACTGGGATTCATATTCCTGAAAGGCTGTGATACAAAGTTAACCTTCCCATTTACTCTCAGCATGAAAGAGGAGTAATTCCCCTGTCCCAGTGCTGCACTTTTGAGGAGGAATAGATTTCCTTTAGGAAAAGAATGATCTAAGAAATGTCTGGGGATTTTCTCTTCTCATACCAGCACCAAAGGGAACATTTTTCCACCATTGTCCTTCAGGCAGATGGCCTTTCTCTCCACATTTTTAGCATTTTTCTGCATTTTAGGTACTGTAGAAAGTGACCAAAGCTGCTAACACAGTTACATCTTCTGGCACATCTAACATTATTGTTGTTGTTTTGTGCTACTGTTACTATTGTTGTCAATGCAGTTCATAATAAGATGGCCCTTAAGAAAGCATCTCTGGAAAATATTGGATGAAACAGTCATCTGGATTTAGTTCAGAGAATTCTGGAGAAGACTGGAGAATTTCTGAACTATTGTTCCTTTAGTTACCATTTAAACTTACATCATTCAAAAAAGTGACATACAACCAGTTCTCATTTTTATGATTGTAGTAACATCCTCAAAGTTACTTGATCAAAATTTGGGCAGTTGGCAACAAGCTCTTATTTATGATAGTTGCAGCCAGAGGTGGTATTCAGGATGTTCTGACCAGTTCTAGAGAACCGGTAGCAGAAATTTTGAGTAGTTCGGAGAACGGGCAAATACAACCTCTGACTGGAGATTTTACAGTATCCTTCTTCCCCTGCCACGCCTACCAAGCCACACCCACAGAACTGATAGTAAAAAAAAATGAATCCCAGCACGGATTGCAGCACTCTAGGGTAATATGATAATTTTATGATTAATCATAATATTAATAGGACCTTCTCAGCTGTCCTCTGACAAGCAAATTCAACGGGGGAATCTGGATTTGCTTAATGAACTTTCTGATTCACTTAAGACCTACAGTATTTATTTAATAACTCTGGCAATAAGGGTCATAAAATTGGGTATGATTAATAGCTGTCTTGCTTAACAAGAGAAATTCTGGTCTCAATTGTTGTCATATGTTGAGGACCACCTGCAGTAGTCTTGTTAGGTGCCAAGGAAAGACCCAAAGTGCGAGCAGAGTCTTCATATTTTCTTTTCAGCTGAGATTTTGTTTTTTCCTCTCAACTTAGATTTTATTCTTTCAAATCTTTATTCATCTATCATTCTTTATACATCTATGAATTACAAACTATATCTAGAGGGCAGCCTCAGTTGCATTTAAGTTCTGCTTCAATACTAGTCACAAGAGGTTCCTAAAAGGAGAGGAATTGATTTTTTTTTAAATTAAATTTATTGAAAAAAAATCAATGTTTTTGAAATGTTTGAAATTTTTAAATTTTAAATGAACTTCTAAAATTTTTAAAATTTTGACAATTGCCAGAAGAAAAATAGAGCCTAAAAACATAATCATGGGAAAAGAGTCTGACAGTGTTGTGATTTGCAAAATATGTTCCATGTATATATGCATGTCCATAGGAGAAGCGAAGGACACATGTACCAAATGTAAATGAATTACTTGAAGAAAAAATAAATAAAGATGCAAGTCTATCCATTCTGAGACTCAGTCAACAAAATAAGAAACTCCAAAATCTGGACAAGGGACACAATCAGGTATACCAATTGCAGGAAAAAGAATAGACCAGACTTGTTTAAGAAAAAAAGATGTGTAATGGTGATAGTAAATCCCACAAGTATTATTTCATTCACTGTGGTCCAGTTGTTGCCATCCATGTATTGGGAGCTCAGAATTCTGGGTTTTAAGAAGGAATTAGGGTAATGTGATTACTTTTTTAGGGCAAAGAGATTTAAACTGTAAACGGTATTCCATACTGGATATGACAAATGTACAACTAAACATAACATGCCATTAATGTGATTTTGTGTGTGTATGTGTGTATACACACACACACACGTTTATAGTATTTATATATGTTTAAAAATAGTTAAAGTAAGATGGCAAACATATCTAATACTTTTGCCTCCCATTTTCCCCACCAGAATAACCCTGTGAGGTGTGTTGGGTTTTGAGAGGTCACTCAGCTGGCTTTTATGGTGAAGGGAGTCTACAACTCACAAACTTCTGGTACCCTGAACTAAAGTGGTTTATTACAAAATGCTATAGTTAGTTTGAAATCCTCCCCAGTAGTGTTTCTGATTGTCTGAACCAATAAAATGAAATACAATGAAAATATGCTTTGATATATTTCAGGGAACAGCATCTGGTTGGCCATATGTGAGTGCCAGAGCTAAACAGATTCAGATTTGGTTAGCACTTGGATAGGCTGTTATTCTTCTGAATCACAAAACAGACTTATTGTCCCCCCAAAACCCCATTTTTATTTGGTTAATGTGAATTCCTGGCATTCACACCCAGAAAAGTCCCAGCAATAATCCTTCCCATGTTTAAGTGCAAGAACAGACCTTATCAATCCTTGGATAGTTGCCAGGACAAGAGCTTCCAGTTGCAATGCTGTAAAAGGAAATATTTGGCATGGAGTCTTTGTGAGGCTTGAACTTAGATAAGCAAATCTTCACAATAATAAGCAAACTAATGGTCTCCTGCAAACATCCCTCCCCTTTTTCCTCCTGTTTATTCCCTATGGGAGGGGCCATTCAGCATCCACTTGGAGATCTAACCCTAAGTGGATTTTCCGTGAATGGGATTTCCCTATGTTTTTTCATGGAAAACCTAGACAAGACAGTGTGGAACAGTATGCTTTCTCCTAACTGTTATGTCTG